TCCCGCCCTTTTCTCCCCTCACGTTTCCCTCTCCTTTCCCCTCACCTTTCTCTTTCTTTTCCTATGGGGCAGCCCATACTGGGTGAACTGGGTGAACTGGGTGAACTGGTCCATACTGGGTGAACTGAGTGAACAGGTCCATGCTGGGTTAACTGGTCCGTACTGGGTTAACTGGTGCCCTTCCCCCCGGGGTCACGGGGCCATCACGAGCTGCCCTGGGGCTGGAATGGCCGGACACGGATGGACACTGGACACGGATGGACACCGGACATGGGAACATCATGGGGACATCCCTGTGGACATCATGGCTTTGGGGACATCATAGGGACACCATGGGGACACTACGGGGACGTCCCTGGGGACACTATAGAGACACAATGGGGACATCACGGCTTTGGGGACATCATGGGGACATCCCTGAGGACACCGTGAGGACATCACGGCTTTGGGGACATCCCTAGTGGACACCCCAGGAACACCCCTGGTGACACCAGGACTTTGGGGACATCACGGCCACCAGGGTCACTGCCATGACCGTGGCATTGTGACCCTGGGGACGCCCTGGGGACATCCCGGGCGGGCGCTAGGCCCCAGCGCACCTCCCGTTACCATGGCAACCCCAGCGTGGCACTGCCGCCATCTTTACTCCGGGCACGCGCTCCGCTTCCTGCCAACCACTTCCGCTCTTTCAGCCAATCACAACCTCCCGCCTTCACCACGTGATTCCCGGTGCCAAACCAGGAAGTGCCGCCGTTATGGGCCCTACCGGAGCCCGTGACTCTCCCGCGGCCCCAGCAGCATTGGCGACACCTCTGGGGACATTTTAGGGACACTCCGAGCAGTCACGAACCTGCTGGACCCCCGTTGCCATGGAAACAACCACAACGCCGCGGCCGCCATATTTTAACTCTTGACACCGCCGCCATCTTAACTCCGGGCACAACTTCCGCCCTCTCCGCCAATCACAACCTCTCGTTTCCCCCACGTGACCCCCGGTAACGCCGAACCCGGAAGCGCCTCCGCCGCCGCCATGGACCCCTCCGCTCCCCGTGAGTTCCGAGCGGCGCCGTGAGGGGAAATTCGGGTTTTAACCCCCCCCAGATTCACTTTTACTTTCATTTCCAGCCCCAAAACGCCGCGGGCCGGGACTGGGAGGGGGTTCAGGGGCACTGGGAGGGGTTTGGAGGGACTGGGAGGGACTGGGAAACAGTTTTGATGGAATTTTGGGTTATTTTGGGGAAGTTTTGGCAATTTTGGGCTATTTTGGGGTGTTTTGGGATGGTTTGGGGAATTTCGGGATGGTTGTGGGCTATTTTTGGGTGTTTTAGGATATTTTGGCATGGTTTTGGGGTGGTTTTTGGGGTATTTTTGTGGTATTTGGGGGATTTGTGGGGATTTGGGGTGGTTTTTGGGGTATTTTGGGGTGTTTTTTGTGGTGTTTGGGGTCCCTGACCCCCCCTGGCCCCCCAGGACTGGCAGGTCCGGTACCAGCAGGACACCCCGGTCGCCCCCCGCTTCGATGTCAACGCCCCCGACCTCTACATCCCGGGTAGGGACCCCAAAACCCCCCCGGGACCCCCCAAAACCCAGTGGAAAGAACCTGTTTATTTGACAGGCAAAACCCCCCGGGACCCCCAAAATCCCCCCAGGACCCCCAAAATCCAGCTTAGGACCCCCAAAACCCCCCTGGGACCCCAAAATCCAGCTTGGGACCCCCAAAACCCCCCAATATTCTCAAAAATCCCCAAAATTTCTTCAAAAATCCCCAAAATTTTCTCAAAAATTCCTAAAATCCTCCCCAAATCCCTCAAAATCTCCCCCCAAAAAACCCCAAAATTTCCCGTATTTTCCCCCAAACCCCTTGAAAACCCCAAAAATTCCCAAAATTCCCAAAAATTCCCCCAAACAACCCCAAAATTCCCAAATTTTTCCCTCACAGCCATGGCTTTCCTCACCTACATCCTCCTGGCCGGCCTCGCTTTGGGCACCCAAAACAGGTACAAAAATCCCTTTTTTTCCCCAAAAAATCCTTTTTTTTTTCCCCAAAAAATCACCCAATTTTCTTTTTTTTCACCGAATTTTCACCGGATTTTTTCCCAATTTTTTCCTGAATTTTCCCCAATATTTTCCCCACCCCAAAGTTTAATTTTTGTGTCTGGAATTGCAGATTTTCCCCGGCCAGCCTGGGGCTGGTGGCTGCTGCTGGAGCTGCTGAGCCAAACCCACCCAAAAACCCCCCAAAAAATATCAAAAAATCCTCCCAAAAAACCCCAAAAAATCCACCCAAAGCAACCCAAAAAATCCCCAAAAAACCAGAAAAAAAAATCGAAAAAAATCCCCCAAAAATCACAAAAAATTCGATTTTTTTCTCCGTTTTTTTCTCCGTTTTTCGCCCGTTTTTCACCCGATTTTCACCAAATTTTCACCGAATTTTCACGGATTTTTTTTGGCCATGCCAGAATTTAATTTTTTGTGTCTGGAATTGCAGATTTTCCCCGGACAGCCTGGGGCTGGTGGCCAGCTCAGCGCTGGCCTGGCTGCTGCTGGAGGTGCTGAGCCAAACCAACCGCCTTTACCTGGTCACCGTCAGCACCGACCTCACCCCCATCGACCTCGTGGCCTTCGCTGGCTACAAATACGTGGGGTGAGCCAAAATCTGGGGGTTTCACCCCAAAAATCTGCCCAAATCAAATCAACCCAAAAAATCCCAAAAAACCAGAAAAAAAAATCGAAAAAAATCCCCCAAAAATCACAAAAAATTCGATTTTTTTCTCCGTTTTTTTCTCCGTTTTTCGCCCGTTTTTCACCCGATTTTCACCAAATTTTCACCCAATTTTCACGGATTTTTTTTGGCCATGCCAGAATTTAATTTTTTGTGTCTGGAATTGCAGATTTTCCCCGGACAGCCTGGGGCTGGTGGCCAGCTCGGCGCTGGCCTGGCTGCTGCTGGAGGTGCTGAGTGTCCTGCTCAGCCTTTACCTGGTCACCGTCAGCACCGACCTCACCCCCATCGACCTCGTGGCCTTCGCTGGCTACAAATACGTGGGGTGAGCCAAAATCTGGGGGTTTCACCCCAAAAATCTGCCCAAATTTAAAAAAAACAAACCTTAAAATGCCCTGAAGTTGCTACAAATTGCCCCAAAATCGCCAAAAATTCCCTCAAAATCCTGCTGGAAATGCCCTGATTTCCCCAAAAAGTCCACTCCCAACCCACCAAAATCCCCAAAATTCCACAAAATCCCAAAATTAGGGGTTTTACCCCAAAAATCCCCCCCCCAAAATAAAACCTTAAAATGCCCCAAAATTGCCACAAATTGTCCCAAAATCGCCACAAATTCCCTCAAAATCCCACTGGAAATGCCCTGATTGCTTCCCAAAGTCTGCTCCCAAGTCACCAAAATTCCATAAAATCCCAAAATTTGTGGTTTTACCCCAGAAATCCCCCAAGTTTGCGGTCAAATCCCCCAATTTTAGGTTGAAATCCCCCAATTTTGGGATAAAACCCCCAATTCCAGGTTGAATCCCCAATTTTGGGTTGAAATCCCCCAATTTTAGGTTGAAATCCCCCAATTTTGGGATAAAACCCCCAATTCCAGGTTGAATCCCCAATTTTGGGTTGAAATCCCCCAATTTTAGGTTGAAATCCCCCAATTTGGGGATAAAATCCCCAATTTTGGGGTCCAATCCCCCAATTTCAGATGTAAATCCCCAGTTTTGGGTTTAAATTCCCCAATTTTGGGATAAAATCCCCCAAGGTACAAAGGACTGTTAAAAAAAAAAAAAAAAGGGGATTTTTTGTTACAGGAAACATATAAAAGGGGGGAAAAAAACCCAAACCTAAAAAAAAAAAAAAAAAAACCCGAAAAAAATCCCTAAAAAATCACAAAAATTTCCATTTTTTCTCCGTTTTTCGTCCGTTTTTCGCCCATTTTTCACCCGATTTTCACCAAATTTTCGCCGAATTTTCACGGATTTTTTTTGGCCATGCCAGAATTTAATTTTTTGTGTCTGGAATTGCAGATTTTCCCCGGACAGCCTGGGGCTGGTGGCCAGCTCAGCGCTGGCCTGGCTGCTGCTGGAGGTGCTGAGCCAAACCAACCCAAAAACCCCCAAAAAACCTGAAAAAAATCTCAAAAAAATCCCAAAAAATCCACCCAAAAAACCCCAAAAAATCCACCCAAATCAACCCAAAAAATCCCAAAAAACCAGAAAAAAAAATCGAAAAAAATCCCCCAAAAATCACAAAAAATTCCATTTTTTCTCTGTTTTTCTCTGTTTTTTCTCCATTTTTCACCCGATTTTCACCAAATTTTCGCCGAATTTTCACGGATTTTTTTTGGCCATGCCAGGAATTAAATTTTGGTGTTTGGAATTGCAGATTTTCCCCGGACAGCCTGGGGCTGGTGGCCAGCTCGGCGCTGGCCTGGCTGCTGCTGGAGCTGCTGAGTGTCCTGCTCAGCCTTTACCTGGTCACCGTCAGCACCGACCTCACCCCCATCGACCTCGTGGCCTTCGCTGGCTACAAATACGTGGGGTGAGCCAAAATCTGGGGGTTTCACCCCAAAAATCTGCCCAAATTTAAAAAAAACAAACCTTAAAATGCCCTGAAGTTGCTACAAATTGCCCCAAAATCGCCAAAAATTCCCTCAAAATCCTGCTGGAAATGCCCTGATTTCCCCAAAAAGTCCACTCCCAACCCACCAAAATCCCCAAAATTCCACAAAATCCCAAAATTAGGGGTTTTACCCCAAAAATCCCCCCCCCAAAATAAAACCTTAAAATGCCCCAAAATTGCCACAAATTGTCCCAAAATCGCCACAAATTCCCTCAAAATCCCACTGGAAATGCCCTGATTGCTTCCCAAAGTCTGCTCCCAAGTCACCAAAATTCCATAAAATCCCAAAATTTGTGGTTTTACCCCAGAAATCCCCCAAGTTTGCGGTCAAATCCCCCAATTTTAGGTTGAAATCCCCCAATTTTGGGATAAAACCCCCAATTCCAGGTTGAATCCCCAATTTTGGGTTGAAATCCCCCAATTTTAGGTTGAAATCCCCCAATTTTGGGATAAAACCCCCAATTCCAGGTTGAATCCCCAATTTTGGGTTGAAATCCCCCAATTTTAGGTTGAAATCCCCCAATTTGGGGATAAAATCCCCAATTTTGGGGTCCAATCCCCCAATTTCAGATGTAAATCCCCAGTTTTGGGTTTAAATTCCCCAATTTTGGGATAAAATCCCCCACTTTTAGGTTGAAATCCCCAATTTTGGGTTTAAATTCCCCAATTTTGGGATAAAATCCCCCAATTTTAGGTTGAAATCCCCCATTTTGGGTTTAAATCCCCCAGTTTCGGGTTGAAATCCCCCAATTTTGGGGTCAAATCTCCCCATTCCCTGTTTAAATCCCCCAGTTTTGTGATAAAATCCCCCAGTTTTGGGTTGAAACCCCCGATTTTGGTTAAAATCCCCGTTTTTATCCCGTTTTTAGGATGATTGTGGGGCTGCTGGCCGGGCTGCTGCTGGGCAGGGCCGGCTACTACGTGGCCTTGAGCTGGTGCTGCTTCAGCATCTTCATCTTCATGGTGAGTTTTGGGGGTTTTGGGGATTTTTGGGGAATTTTGGGGATTTTTTAGGATTTTTGGGTCTTTGGGATTCATTAAATTCCCAGGAATTTGCTCTGAATTTCCAGGAATTCACCAAAATTTCAATTTTTCAGTGATGCTCGGGGAGGATTTTTGCTTTGTTCTCTGACTTTTGGGGGATTTTTGGGATTTTTTGGGAATTTTGGGGGATTTTTAGGGTTTTTGGGTCTTTAGGATTGGCGGAATTCCCAGGAATTTGCTCTGAATTTCCAGGAATTCACCAAAATTTCAATTTTTCAGTGATGCTCGGGGAGGATTTTTGCTTTGTTCTTGGATTTTTGGGAGAGTTTTTGGGGGTTTTGGGATTTTTGGGAATTTTGGGGGATTTTTAGGGTTTTTGGGTCTTTAGGATTGGCGGAATTCCCAGGAATTTGCTCTGAATTTCCAGGAATTCACCAAAATGTCATCTTTTCAGTGATGCTCGGGGAGGATTTTTGCTTTGTTCTCTGATTTTTGGAGGAGGTTTTTTGGCTTTTTTGGGTTTTTAGGGCCTGACGGTTCGATCCCAAAGTTCCAAATCCCAAATTTTCCCCAATTTTCCCAAATTTCCCCCAAATCTGGACACAGAGGCTGAAGCTGCTCTCGGGTGCCTCAGCCAAGGGGGATTTGGGCCTGATTTTGGGTCTCTTTAATGGGATTTTTATGTGCATTTTGGCCTGTTTTTTGAGCTTTTTTTTGGTTCTTTTTTGTTTTTAACCCCAAATTTTCCCTTTTCCCCCCAGATCCGGACTCTGAGGCTGACGCTGCTCTCGGAGGCGGCGGCTGAGGGGGATTTGGGGCTGATTTTGGGGCTTTTTCATGGGATTTTAATGTAATTTTTGGGGGTTTTTTTTGGTTTTCTGGGTTTTTTGGTGGTTTTTTTTTTTTTTTTTTTTTTTTTTTTAAT